TAGACATAAATATGTTATATTATTTATTGAAATTGTGAATTACATTCATTTTAAACAACAGAAATTGAATTCCATGCATCTTCTAGGGGTGTCAAGATATCAAATTTCAATGGTCCAAGAATTGTGAAAAGAAACATCACAATTTTATGTTTTTTTTAAACGCTCAATATCAGGAACAAACAACAATAAACTTTCAAACAGATCTAATAGATCACCACCCTCAAATATCTCTCCACCAGAAATCAGTAATTCTAGGTGATAAAAGTTATTCTGACATAAACACCCAGATAAAAAACACTTTACATTTATTGTTGCTCTTTTGGAATGTAGATTGAATTGATGATTATATTGTGATCTGAACAGTCACAATTACCAACTAGAAAAGCACTCAGAGAGCGCAGACCTCCGCCAAGGACTACCCCCATTTTTAATATAAATTGTGATAAAATCAGTCTTCTGGATCAGATCCGGATCAGCCTTTGGAATATGAAAGAGGATCCCATTGTCCATCCCTGAGTCAAATTCATGGGGTTTGGTCAATAATTAACCGAGATATTGAGAATTGAGAATTCAAAGTGATCCAGAATCCAGGATTTCTTCCGGATCACCCCCAAAATGAAATCAGTTCTTCCTTTTCACATTTCCAACAAATCCTGAAAATTTCATCAAAATCGGTCCATAACTTTTTGAGTTATGCTGCTAACAGACAAACAAACAAACAAACAGACAAACGCCGGCAAAAACATAACCTCCTTGGCGGAGGTAATTAACAGAACATCCCTAGTGTCTTCTAGCCTATGTTAAAAACACATATACGACAAAAACAATGCAAACTTGAGAAATAGCAATCTTAGGCTAAAGTTTACTGAGCATCAAGCTCTGGCTTGATACTAAATAAAGCTCTGGCTTGATCCTCAAATTATTTTTTTCCATTATTCCACAATTGCCATCACAGAATCATCCAGAGTTTTACACTATTCTGAAGATTGAGATTATTCTAAAATTAAATTAGGAAAGCACAATTCTGTAATATTTGTGCAATTATGCAACAATAACTGTTCAATGGACTCCAATGCTGTCACTTTAACTTTGATGATCATAACCACAAGGTAATAGCAACACCATTATCCTGATAAGACTGAGGATGTTAAAACCATATAGTAAAAAAATATATATAAAATTCTCCATGACGACGAGAAGACTGCAGACCAAGCTCAGGCTGGGTCCACCCAAGGCTGTGCAGTGCAAATGAGCACTTTCTGTAAAGCCACACGACACGAAAAGCACAACAGGAATGTCCCCTGCATCTTATTCAGTCCACTTGTACTGTTCACAGGCTATACAGCACAGTCAGAGCAAAGAGGCAACGTCACTTACACATTCACCATTCTGTGAACAATGGGAAGAGAATGTTTAAAGACTCATGGAGACATCCAATTTTGCTCTAGGCCAGCTGAATATACGCTAACGTAGCTAACCAACTTAGCTAACCTAGCTTGTAGCCATCCTAAAGAGGCAGTTTGCAACTTACCAGACTCTAGAGCAAACTAATAGCACTGTCAAAACTAGCAGCCAGTGCAACGCTCAGTGAGAATAAGAATTAGTCACAAACCCATCGTGATCAACCACACTTGACTTACCCTTAAAAGGGAAGCATTACAGGGATCTAAAAATATTACAACTAAGCAATTAGTATTACTGTAAATAACTGATGAATTGACCAAATAAAAAAACAAAGTGTAATTATGAAAAACATTTGCAAGATACATACACAGTAGCAGAACAAGCTGCTTTGGGAGTCAATTGAAAAAAGTAAGTGACATTCACCTGCAGATGCTCCTATTTATCAATCTATTTCTATAGTCCATCTAGGTTCCCATACTGTACTTATCTCCACCCTTTTTTCTCTTTTGTATATTCTGAGGAATATTTTGACCTCTCTTATACACAATACTCACAAAATAATTACTATACAGCTCATGGATGGGAATAGCTTGCCTCCCTTTCTGTGGCAAGGGGATGTGAAATGCTTGATACCATCAAACCTCAAAATTGCAGCATGTCAAAGTCAGGCCCAGAGCATGCCCTTTGCCACAGTGGGATAACTTGCAGAAATGTGCAAACCTAATCGTCTGGAGAACTCTTGCAATCACCACTTTTTTTTTACTGTTGCTCTGAGTTTTGGTGACTGAAATATGTGGCTCCATTTCTGTGAGACACCGTAACCATTCAGCAAACACAAGACCAATATGGTCCACACTACGGTGTTAAGTCCTGGAATGTTTGAGAGTAAACCACTTGTATTTAAACCTTTGAAAAGGAACAACCACTATCTACATTCACCAGACGGGCAGGGGGGCAGGGAGGCTAAAATAAGGAACCAATGGAGTCACTGTCCAGTAAGAGTTGTTCACAACTAATTATACAACACTGCAACTCCCACAGCTTTTAAAATGCCAATGACAAGACAAAAATGCTGGACTGGCTGAATGGGGGAGTGTGCTAATCAGACAACCACTTCTCAGAAACAGGAAGTTCTATTTTCTATTTTTTCCCAATCTAAATGTTCTTTCTTTTGATCAACATGAAACAATGCATGTTTAACTAATTAGGATTGGGTGACATGATAATAAAAAAATGTATTGTCAAGAGAGAGATTAACTGATATAGGGTTTTCTTTAATGGCAATCAATGGCCAATAAGCTCTATCATTATTTTGCAGCTAATATGTAGGACTAATAATAAATAAAATCTACTAATAAGAAAGAACACACAGAAGCATTCAAATAAAGCCAAATGCCCTTTTCCTTTAGTAGGTGGTCAACTGATACAACTAATCGGCCTATATTGGATTTAATTCAGGTAGCTGATATGCAAAAAGTGCAAATATTGGCCAGATATAGCAGTCGGCTCATATCAGTAGGCCTGTCACAATCACAAAAAATTGTGATATATTGCTAAAGTAATTATAGACGATAAATGATAATACTGCAACAAATTTATGGCACTGATACATAAACTCAAGCAGATTTAAACCACAAAAACAATTCAATACAATACTGTTAACAAAACACAATCTGCAATAAATAAATTGCAGAATGAAACACTAGAGTACTTAGTTTGTATCTGTCATGAGTCATAGAAGTTATTAAATCAATCTTATGGCCTAAATCTTATGATATAGTCCAAAGCAAAGGAAAATGTAAACAGAATAAATATTGAGCTCAAAACAATATGGTGGTAGCTTTCATATAGTATTTGTTGTGACAGGACTATATTGGTATTCTAATTGTTAGTGATAGGACTTTGTGACAACTTGCAAATCTAGATAGATTGTCAGTGTTAATATTAATGCAGCTCCCTGCTTAAAAAGTAACAAAGACACATGCAGAGTATTTTTCCCTACCCACTCCTTCAACTATTCAACCTAATCATGCTGTGTCATAGGGCCAAAATTAACCAAACACAATGATGTGTGAAGACTCAGAAAAGGATAATAACTTAAAAGGTACATCTCAAGACAATATAAAACAGCAAACCGTAGGCCTAAATGTATTGTGTAAATATTGCACCATACAAACGTTGGACCTCCACTAATGTTACAATTGGTGAAGAAAAATGACAATGTTGTTACCAACAAGACAGTAACTGCTAATGGGTCACAGATTGTGCTGCCTAAGAGATGAGGTAATGTGGGTGTAAACACACACACACACACAGTTGGATCCAAATAAAAATCTATCTTTCAGACCTTAACTATTACAATCACAGATCTCAGTCATGCACCAAAATAATTTCTTCCATAGACAAATGAGGCTTATGACACATCACCTGCGTGAAACCGTCTGCAAGTTTCCAATCCAGCTTTGGAGATTGTTTGTGTCATCAGTGAACACAGACACATGCAGTAAACCGAATTTCGCAGACACTGAATAACTGAATGAACGACAAGACAAAAGTCAATGAAGACTGTCAGCAGTGAGGTCTGCTGTTTTGAATCTGTGGTGACCATATGTAGGCATTTGTCAGAAAGACAGAGGGAATCGGAAACTATTACGCTTCTGAGGAATGACACTCCCTCTGTTTGCTAGGAGCCGCGTCTCCATTCGCTGCAGACCTGACTAGTTTGGTCCAAACACACTAACGATGTTTGGACCATAGACAACTGGTATGGAAGGATGCAAGTGTGGCTGGGTATAAAGTTACCCTCCAAATGCATAGCATAGCAGAGAACACCCTCTCGTACTCAGTAAGCTCTGTACATATTTTTCCTTCTGTAACTATATAAGTCTATTAATGCTGGTGAAGGCCTGCACAGATTTTAAAAAATGCCACGTATCCATAGACAAATGTAACAATTCAGACACTGGGCCTGAACTCATCAACACTCCATTGTACGAGTAACACAGCTAGTGCTAGCCTCAGAGAGCTACCCGATTCAGCTGTCGCTAACAGACCACGGATCTATCAAGGCAGACGGAGTTATTAGCAAACACAACCTTCTGCTATTTTATTCAAACCACGACCATTAACAATATGAAATGGTCAATTCATATAATGATAAAGTCTGCTGAATTGCGTTTTCGAACAACCAAAGACAGGTCTGTGCTGTGAAAAGGCAGCGAGAACCGAGAGACGGTGAAACACCGGTAACACTACGGAATCATTTTATACTAGTGTCTACGCCATAGTTAGCATATTATGAGCTAATCGGGACTCGTGGTAAAATAATCAGATCTTGGCTTGGTTCGTCTACCGTCCTGATACAAAGGAAAATGCTGGGGGATTCACACGATGCTGGACTAGAACGTGTTTTAACTGATCACCGTGAAAACCACTGCACAAGAGGCCCAATAATTGGGCACAATTTCTATTCATCATGGTTTGATATAACTCAAGTGGGTTTTTTCTCGTATCAATCGATTTTCCTAACCGTGCCAAAAATCAGCATTCCCGTTATATGCCATCCAAAGGTGCAGCATTGTGCTAGTAGCACTTACCTTGCTTGCTCTCTATTTTCCCCGACATTTTCGTAGCCAGCAGCTGTGTGATCCCACTCGCAATTCAACAAAACGCTAGCTGCGGACCAATCTCCCGTACGTCTCCTTCACTTATTCCATCTTTTTTGATATTCTGTTGCGTCCATGAAATAAATTAGCCAGTATAAAGGTACTGTATCTACAGACGAGACACATTGGTACGGTCAAAGGCGGTCCGTCCTCGGGTAATTTTCACTGAATCCACACACGCACGCGCACGCACACACACACACACACACACACCACTGTTGGTAATGTCTTGAGCCTTCACTTGAGCAATGCACTTTCAGACGAACAGCGCCCCCTGCGGCAGGAATGACAGACAGTGCCTCTGACAACAAGAGGATGGGCGTGTTTCGCATCAATTCTAAATAGGTGTGTGGACTCGACTGAAGCCAAAAGCTTGCAGTATCATTATTTGCCAATTCCCGTCTCCATCCGTCCTCGCAGATTTCATCCATGGATGTTTTATGAAGTGATGAGTAGTAATGAGAAGTATTTATCTCTATCTTATTATTTAGGCCAGTACTGATGCTGATTATTGTCAGATTTCCTTCCCGAATTACACAGACTACCTGGCAGAATGTAGTAAGAATACAAACTCGGGAGGGTAAAGCTATGGCCTGTAGCTTTATAGCCTGTTTGCACTGAAGCACCAAGTCACTAATTCATATCCATAGCAGTTTGCTTTTTTATGTCTTGTTTATTTCTTTATGTTTTATTTATGTCTAACATGCACAAGCCACATTTAAAATATTATAGCAGAGCAAAGCTGTCTTAAAACGAGGAGATGGAGCCCTCTGTTGGAAAGAACAATCATGACTTGACTTTTTCCTCTGCTCCACTCTGTTTAGTGTTTAAATTTCATAATCGACAGATCAGCATTTGGAAAAATATGTTTCTCCTTCAGTGTGTCATGGCAAAAATAAAAAATTTTGTGCTGAAAATTATAATTATTACAGAGAATTACTATCTGGGTAACTAAATCTCAGTTAACAGGTGACAAATAAAGTCTTATTTGAGCCTCAACTGATTCTTTAACTGTTAACAGTTAACTTCTTAAACTCATAGGCTAATTCAGGATGTTTTTATACTTTGTCTACTTTGTGCATCCAGAAGTCAAGGTACGCTGACTAACATGATATGAATGGTAGTGGTGCACAACCTCTCTGTATTCATCATAGATGCAAGTTATAAGCAGCGAAGAATAATATGTTATTATGTTTACTATGCATTTCCAGCTGCCAAAGTCAAAGGTTGATATTTGCTTTTGTTGTCATTACACTTTCACTCATATTTCCTTCCCCACACAGAAGCCCCACCCATACAGTAAAGTGCAAAGTATGCACTCGTGTGTGTGTGTGTGTGTGTGTGTGTGTGTGTGTGTGTGTGTGTGCGTGCGTGCGTGCGTGCGTGTGCGTGTGCGAGCGCGTATGGGTGTGTGTGCGTGAGTGCGTGTGTGGCGGAGAGGTCGGACTGATTTGCCTACCCTGAGGCTATGATAAAGTCCTAAAGGAAGACAACAAACTCTTGTTGTGAACTTGTCAGGGCAGAGTACTGACGTCATGGTGCCGTATATTTATTGATCACGCATGTTAGTAACAGGGTGTTAATGCAGGTAATGCAAATGCAATTATTTAAGTGCAACAGTCGGGTAATGCGACAAAACTCATCAGTGCATAAGATTATTATATGTACACAACTTGAATAGCAAAAATGATATGCTATTTTATATTACTACATTATATTGTACGCTATTTTATTTGATTTTCTCTACTCATGTGGTGTTTATTTATTGTAATTTGTGTATCATTTGTTTGTGTTTCTAATATTGTTCTGCTTGTTTTTCATGTAATATTTCATTTTGTATGTTAATGGTAACAATAATTAGGCTATAGTAACTACACAGTGATAATAAAAGGCAAAAAAGGAGATCATATATAATATATTTGAATATTCTTATTATATTCCTATTATTCGTTAAAGGCCTTCATAAATTGTGGATTTATTGTTTTTTCTGTTCCTCTACCTTGTTGTTCCACTAAAGGCCACAGAGGGGCGCTAACAGACCGTGATAATGGGACCCATATGTGCAGCAATCCAGCAAATAGACTTAATCAGAATCAGATTTTTTGCTACAGTATGGGCGCGTACTAGTTTAAAAACGGTATAATCACAGTCTAACCTTAAGATGCATATTGAAGACACAAAATGCAAGTTTCACTTACTCCCATTTCGTTCCTCACATGGACTCTCACGGAACAATTGGCAGCCTGCACTAGTACTATTTATAAAGGGATTTTCGGAACTGTTATAATATTGTTTTCTCATCAAAAACACACATGAAGTTGTGTTTTGTTTGATTCAACAGAAAACACTCACCTTGTGATGTCATGCGGTAATACAGGACGTGCTCCACTGTGTTTTTAAACTGAATGGAACGAAACAAAACGGAACTCCAGGTGTGTTTTTTGATAAGGTAACAACATTCTCACATGGTTTAAACCTCACAAGACTCAGTTTAGCATAAAATAGAACCTTTAATTATTATTTTATTAAGAAGTCAGGGTCCATCTGCTGCTTCTCTTTGATTTAATAATGAGAACCAAAACAAACAATACCAACATAAACAACATGTCACCTGCAATGATTTGGTAACACAATACCTTGATATTATAGCTGAATGGTTGACTGTAAAATTACAATTTAAACATGCAATGAACAGAAAAACAGAATGTAATAAGATAATTGATGAAGTAGGTTTTTTTTCCCCTCTATTTGCACACATCTTTCAAAGGTATCTGAGTTTTAATCTAATATTCCATACCTGCCTCAGTTGTTATCATATAAGAAAAAAAATTAAATTATTAGAATAAATAAATATGAAAGTGAGCAAGTCTCCTATTCCCCTTTAAATAACCACAGCCATCACCACATTGCACTGCGGTTTTCACAGGTAACTTGAGGCAATGCTTACAAAATTAAGAAGGAGATGTGTTTTATGGAATCTGTGATTAAAATGATGAAACCTTCTTCAACAGAAACTTAAGGTAGAATTTTAAATGAGATACTGTACAAGGTCAAATAAAAGCAGTGCACTATACACAACAGCACCTTATGGCTGTTTCGTAGACCCACTGACAGATAATATTTGTCTAAAACACAAACAGAAATGAGAAATCAGTTTTATTGCTAACTCAGTATGCTAAATATTACAGAATAGCAGTGTCTGAGCAAGTGCAAGTGTGGAGGTGGACCTCTGATCAAACGCTGGTTTGCCTTGGCCAGCCGTCAGGCACTTTGTTGGTCTCACAACTGAGCAAGGCAGGGATTAGGAAGGTTTAACTAACTGCATATATTTAACTGAGTAATGAGCTCAGTATACTCCCTAACTAACGCAGACTTGCGAAATAAATACATAAAAGAATACACACAAATCCTTCACATATTTTAAGGGTTACAAACATACGCTAAACACGGCATATATATGTTAAGACCCAGCTCGTTGGGGTGAGGGAAGTAACAAAAATAAAACCAAGATGTAAAATGGAATAAATGAAATAATGTTTAATTAACAGGAAGGTAAAAGGTAAATTAACAAAAGACTAAAAATATACAGAAAACAACCTAAACTAAGAAACAGAACAACAGAATAAACAGAGTTTTGTGCCACAAAAGGGGTCGCGCAGGCTTACAAAAAATGAGTGTTAAAATTAAGGGACACACATGAAACACAAGTTCCCGAAATTAAACCACATAAGCCCACAAACAGAATCAAGTGACCAAATCAAAAAAGGCACAGAACAGATCTAAACTAAACCACACACAAACACAAAATGGCATACTGGCCACCATGGCCAGCAGCCCCGAACAATCTGGCAATCTCTTTATCTCTTTAATAGGAGGCAGTGGCTGCAGGTGAGGTGGACGTAGACTTGCCCCACCAATCACAAACGAGGGCACCCACAGCAGGAATACAGGTGTGTCAGCAGAATAATTTAGAACACACAGAACAAATGACAATCTAAGGCCTGGGGCCATAACAATATATAAGTGAGAATTATTTGTGATAATTGTGGCTGTTGTACTTGCAATATGGTGAGGGTCTTGGCTTGTTGCTCAACATTCAAGCTCTCTCTCTTTTCCTATATTTGTGCAGGTAATATTAAAGACAGGGTCAAGTCTCTTCTTGGTGCGGTCCTCTCAAATAATCTATTGCAGACTTTCCACTGCTTCTAATTGACATTTACCGCCAAGCCAGTGGCAAAGAATGCCAAAAAGCATTAGCAGGGCCTGACTACAGGGGGGCAGTGTGAAGCTGGATGCTCCTTATATTGTGCCTTTACTTTTATAGGCCAGTGGGGTCTCAGGGGCCCATGGATGACCTCACAGTCAGAGGTGAGTGCACAGCTTCGGGTGTGACCACACAAAGAGGCCAACTCTGTGATGCAGCGACAGAACTATTACACTTCTTAAGATTTAGGTCTCAGGTAGGCACCTTAGCCTTCCACAATTTCCCCACTGAGGAGCTAAATGTCAGTGCACATCCTTTCTTTTATTCCACTAGGGCTGATAGGAGCAAGTGATGGTTACACAGTGATTCAAAAAGGAAATGCCCTATCACTGGAAGGTTATCCATCCCACTTTGAGTCCCACTCTCCAGTTCATATATGACTGGTTATACTTTCAAGTGATATCACAACATTCAAAAGAGGATTCTGTAACCTGGCTTATGGTTAATACCTATGTAATGAATTACCTATTCACATTCATCAACATCTTCTTGGACACCATCAACTAAGGTATTTTTCCCATTAAATAATGTACTTGCATTAGAGTGCTTAAATAATATTAAGCTCCTTAAGAATATACAGTTCTCTCTTCACATTTGATCCCAGCTCTGTCAGGACCACGTTATTACAAACTAGGCATGGAGGAGACAGTCTGGTCTGTGGGTGTTGTGGGTGTCACGCTAATATATGCCAGTTTTGCTTTAAAGTCTTTTTTTTTTTAAGTATCCCAGTGAACTCTTTAAAACATATATATTTGAATGGAATAGGAATTCATATTTTATAATTTTGTGTTTATGTGCTGAAAAGATTTTTAGAGACAAAAAAGCAAAACAAGTCACTTTTGAATCAGACATGGCTCTGAACAGCTCTGACCAGTGGAGTAATACCCCCTTATGGTGACACTTTAAAATGAATCAAGGGTGTTTCTGCACTGGCAAGTGCAGAGAAAACTATTTTGGTCATCTATG